TCTCAAAAACGAAGACCTAACACCCCCTCTGAATCTCAAAAACAAAGACCTGAGACTCCCTCTTAATCTCAAAAACTAAGACCTAAGACTCCCTCTGAATCTCAAAAACTAAGACCTGAAACCCCCTCTGAATCTCAAAAACTAAGACCTAAGACCCCCTCCAAATCTCAAAAACTAAGACCTGAGACTCCCTGTGAATCTCAAAAACTAAGACCTAAGACCCCCTCTGAATCTCAAAAACTAAGACCTAAGACTTCATCTGAATTATCTCAAAAACTAAGACCCAAGACCTAAGTTTTTGAGACATCCAATATTGGACCCCAAATTTGCTAATCATTACAAAGAAATGTAAGCCCTAGTGGAACCTCCACTCATGGCCACCTCTCTACAACGGCCACCTCTCTGCAGTAGTCACCTCTCTATAATGGTTACCTCTCTACAATGATCACCTCTCTACTTCTCTACGATGATCATCTTTCTACAGTCATCACCTCTCTGCAACAGCCACTTTATTTTGCCCAGTGGACATTCCATACATTCACTCTTATCTTAACATCTTTATAATGGCCACCTCTCCACCACGGCAATGACTACTTAAACACATCCCAAATGTCAAACCAACCTCTTGACAACAGCCAGTTAATCAAGGACTAAAGAATTGTGTACATACAAAACCCCATTTTTTATTGTAAAAAGTCATGAAACTTGGCCCATGCCATGCATTGTTGGTCATGCCATGCATTGTTCTTTCTGGGTGGCCGTGGTGGAGGGATTGGACTACACTGATAAACTCAGCAGCTCTTCTATCATAACATTATAATTGTAAGAACTTTTGTGTGGGATTTCCCACACTTTGTCAGCACCAGCGATATTTATTCCTTTGTTTGTGTAGAGAGCAAAGTGTTTGTCACATGGTTTCTACTTCGCATGTAGACTTGGTTCCACTAGCAAGAGAGAGGATCCTGGGAACAATCGCGAGGTTGAGGGCTTTGTGTGACGGCCGTGTGATTACTCTTATCGGCTCTTGGTTTTTGGCGAATTCTGACTTGTTTTTGAAATTTGGAGGGAGTCTTCTTAGGTCTTAGTGTTTGAGACACTCACTGCTGAATTTATTTTTCTTGATGCGCCATTTATTATGAGATGG